GTGTGTGTGTGTGTGTGTGTGTGTGTGTGTGTGTGCGCGCGCGCCAGATGCCACTGAAGTGCCATTGCTTTTTAAAAAAGATTAATATTGGACTGGCAAACAGCACAGTGTATAAAGGCATTTGCCACGAAACCTGATGACCTGAGTCTGGTCATGAGATCCACGTGGTGGAGAGAACTGACTCCAAGTTGTCCTCTGACTTCCACTTGTGTATACCACAGCACACATGCAGGCACACACATGTACATGTGCACACACAAATGCACAACGTAATTTTTAAGAATAGAGGTTAAAGTGGGCTAGGGAGAGAGCTTAGTGTGGAGATACATTATTTGTGCTTTATTAAAGCTTGCCTGAGGGTACAGAAAGCATAACTAGCTACAAGCCATAGAGCCAGGCAATGGTGATAACACAACTTTAATCCCAGCAGCCATACTAACTAACCACAGAGCCAGGTGGTGGCGGCACACACCTTCAATCCCAGGACTCAAGAGACAAGAAGATGGACCTCTGTTAGTTCAAGGCCACACTGAGCTACATGAAACTGATCCAGTCCTAAAGAGAAACAGCTCACACGAAGATGATCTCAGCCCTTGGGATCACACGCCTTTAATCCCAGCACCTGGGAAGTGTAAAAGGAAAAAGCAAAGTGCCTCAAGTGAAGATTTATTCTCCAGCTACGCTAAGGACAGGGCAGCCCTTTCAGCCTGAGGTAGAGGTAAGAGTTAGTGGCCGGCTGCTTTGCTTTTCTGATCTTCAGCTTGAATCCCAATATCTGTCTCCAGGTCATTTATTATGCGTATTACAGATCAGTTCATGCAGTGCTCGCCCCACAAGCATGAAGACCCTCATCCAACCCCCAGCACCCACGTACAAAGCCAAGCTCTGCAGAGGTGTGGACAAGGGAGAACTCTGGGGATCCATGGGCCAGCAAGTCTAGCCTGATCAGTTAGTCCCAGTAAGAGACCCTGACTCAAAAAGCAAAGTAGCTAGCTCCTGAAACAGCACTACAGGTTGACTGGTGTCTTACACACACACACACACACACACACACACACACACACACACACACACACACACACACACACAGTTATGCTGTCTGCAGTTTAAAAAGCACAACTGACTGAAGCATGTACTGCTGCACACTCACGGTGACAGGAGGAGGGTGGGACAGAGATGCAAGGCCGAAGGACACCGAGAACCCACGGGGACCTGGCTGACAGAGCTAAGGACACCCAGAACCCACGGGGACCTGGCTGACGGAGCACTGGCTTGCAGCCGGTGTTTCGCACCAGCCACAACTAATGGGCCAATGGATGTGGGAGCTAAGAGCCTTCTAGAGCCTGCTTGCTGTGACCCTTTGGCCCTGCACCCACACCCCTCCCTCCCTCCATCTCTTACGAAGAAAACAAGTGCTGAGTCTGGCTGGCAGCATCCTTGAGCAGGCACCTGTGGACCAAGTCTCTCTGGAGGAATCCGGAATGTCCTTTATCTCCTGCCTGTGCCCAAACAGAAGACGGGGGAGTGGTGACCAGCACCCCCCCAACTACACGGGTGTGGAGATGCGGCGCATGGGCCCTGCCCACTGCAGGATGACGGCCTGCTGGCTCGTTCCAGTACCTGCTTTCTCACAGGGCAGGTACACACCCAAGGCATCCAACATTAGCAAGGGCCCGACTTTCTGAAATCAGGAAACCATCCTGGCTACTCAGCTTCTGCTTGCTCCCCCTGCTGCCGATGTCTTGGCCAGGCTGCCAGCAATACTACACCACAGAACGGCCCACGCCCAGGAAGGCCAGGGCTGATGCTCAGTCGGACCAGGCTTGTTCCCACACGCAAACTCATTCTAATGGACGAAGTGACGTGTTCTTGGAACACTACCACTTGACAGCTTGAGCACAGCCCAAGCACCTCACACAGGTGCCATGGCTTCCCACAGGCCCTTTCCAGCTGGGCGGGGCTCACGAGAAACACGGAGAGCTGGCTGTGAAACAGGATCAATCAAGGGAGACTGGTTTAGCCAAGTGCCTGTCAAATCGTAGCGGGCAAGCGCAGTCCGGGGTTGGGCTGTCAAGTCCCAACTTCTGCTCTACAAGCTGAGCGATCTTACGTCCTTGCCTCTCTGTGCTCCGGGTCCCTCGTGCACTGCAGTGAAGGTGATGAGGCTGCAACCTCACAGGAGGCTTGGAGGACAACATGTAGATCCCACAGGAAGTTCAGCATTAAATGAACATCCAAGGCCACAGTGACGGCTCAGGGGGCATAGGTGCTTGCTATTGAGCTCTAGGACCTGAGTTTGATTCCCGGGACACACAGAGTAGAAGGAGAGAAAGGACACCCCATAACTTTCCCTTTGGCCTCCACACATGCTCCATGGCACTGTTGTGTATCAGTTTCCCCCAGAGATGGAAACCTTCCAAGCCTGCAGGGAAGCTCCTTGGGCAGGAGGGTAAACAACTCAAAAAGCTTCAGGAAGTCCCTGAAACTCATCAGATTCGCCAGGCCCCTTCCTGCCAGAGTAAACAATAAAAGCTGAAGAGTCTCCCTGAGTGGGGCAAAGCCAAGCTGCCAAGAAGACCTGAGACCAGACAGCTGCCTGGAAGACACAGAGCAGGAAGAGGTGTAGACCAACTGAGGCGCCTGGAAAGACTCCAACCTGCTGAGCTGCGGGCAGGCTGCGCAGTGCGCTCCAGGTTCCCAGCTTTGTGAGCTGCCACTCATGCCTGGGTGGGCTTTGGTGATGCAGCTGTTGGAGTCATTTTCCGTGGCTGTAAGTAACCCCTCACCCATACTCCTCCTGCAACTAACCCAATAAAACTCATTGGTTCACCAAGCTGGACTCTGGTGGTGTCCATACTTTCTTTGGTCTGTCATGGGTTCCCTATCTGGGGTGAGTGGGCATGTGTATTATGTCTCCCCAGGAAAATTTTGTCACACAACTGGCATGAACATGCCTGTACACACACACACACACACACACACACACACACACAACTGGAGATGCGTTTACAATTGAGTGGTGTGAGGAAAAAGAACGCAGGAGGGGTATGTCTCCCGAGATGGGGCTTCAAGACAGACATGCAAATCCAAAACCATCTCCTACCCCAGACTCTGCCATCTTGGCAAAGAACAGCGGCCCGAGATGCTGACTTTGCTCTGTGCTACTTTGGGCCATCTCAGACTCAGTAACGGTCACTGCGCCCCCGGGGACTTCACCTGGTGTCTGGGGAAGGAGGGGCCCTTCCCTTCCTCTGCTCCCTGACGCCAGGAAGCCAGGGCCTGAGCACCAGGGCAGTTTCTCAGGAAAGCAGTTTGGATCTGGGGCCTGTCTACTCGAGTTCTCAAATCTTGAGAACTCAACAGGGAAAAGGGAGGGACTGGCTGAAGATCACTTAACGGGCCAACCCAGGATGACGACGGGCGCAGAGGCGGAGGATGGCACTTGCTTGCCCCAACAGTCGGCTCAGAACGCCCAGCTCCTGCCACCCCAGATTCACAAGACTCCAATGTATATTTTACACTCTGGCCTTGCTGGCAGAGAGCCCTGGAAACAGCTAAGCCTAGCTTCAGAAAGGTATATCCACAACAGACAGGGTTTCCCAGGAAATAGTACAGCAGCATGCATGCCGCCTGCACAGGCACAGGCAGGAGGGTCTGGCACATCACAGCTGGGCAGCTGCCACCACACCATCGTGGGAGACCCCCCTCCTCAGGCCCTGACTGCAAGCCTTCCTGCCAGACTCAGGTTTCCACAGCTGGGGCTGGACCACAGTCCCTGCTCTCACCGAAGGCACTGCCTGTGGGGCTCTACTGCTGTCTGAGTTTCTGTTCCCATATCAAAAGTGGTTCTTTTCTGCTGAGGCGACAAGACCTGCCAACAAAAACAAGCCGCTGGGACCTGCATTTTCATAACACAGCACACTACAATGAATCACTGAGGTTTAATGGTGTTGGCAGCGGGGCTGGTGGCAGGGACCCGTGTGAAAGCAGCACAGGGAGCTCGGCCCCACTCCCTGCGCCTCATCTCTCCTGACTGACAGCTCCCTCTCCAGGCCCCCAAACAGAAAACCAGACAGCATGCAGATCCTGCATGTGGGACGGTCTGACTCCTTACGGCTCCATCACAGGTACACTGTCCCTTTGCAAACGAGGAGGGGGCCAGTCACCTGGCATGGCCTGCCCCTTGTGACACCCAGCAAACCCTGTCTGCATGCCAGGAGCTCGATGAAAATAAATGCAGAACCTCAGGTCCCACGGCCCCTACTCACATGGAGGGGACCTGCAACAGACAGACCTCGGGTTCGCATGTGCTCAGGTGGCTTGGGGCCCTCAGCGTGGGCTCTCTGGGAGGTGGAGGCTTGGAAGAAACACTTAGGAAGGGCTTCCGTCTCCCTCTAAGAAGCTACCCTGAAACACAACAGGCCATGTGACAGAGGCAGCTGGCAGTGTCCCCTGTCCTGGGTCAGAGACTCCAGCACTTTTGCAAGACCCATAGAGGTGGGCAGGGTGGGGACGCATGAAACAGACTGTGTTCCAAGACCTTACAGAAGGCGGCGGTCACAGCAATCTGTGACAAGTCATGGTGACACCACCCTGAGGCCGCTCCTCTGCTACCCTTCACGCTTCAGCCATCCTTTCTGCCTCTCCTACTTCAAACTCCCCTTAGATTCCAGTTAGCCGGGTAGACCCTGAGACTTCTCAGTACCACGCCTGCTATGACGCACTTTGTCCTTAAACGACCTATACTTAGCTGAAGCCCCTCTCTCAAGGTCTCCTCTGGCTGCCTCCTCCATAGAGCCTTCCCTGGTTGGCCTCCATGGCTGCCTCACAGCCATTTCTTCCATACTGTGCCTGGGATTACCTCAGGACCCTGGGCCTGCAAGGAACCTAGGCGTGCGGTCAGTCACAACCCTGTATCCTGGCTGAAGTCCATGAGCCTGTCCAAGGCCCGCCCATATGTGGCCAGCCAGCAAGTGGCCTCACAGTCTCCCAACACCTACCACAAAGTCCAGAGTTCTGGAATGTTCCAGGCAAGTGCCTTGGGGAAAAGCCAGGAGAAAAGTCTGTGGGTCTTCACCCCGGGGGCAGGGGAGGGCAGCAGCAGTGGGAAGGCAGTCTGGGCTGCCTCCGACACCTGGGGTCCTCTTGAGTGTGGCTGCCCCACAGGGTCCCCAGGCCTGCTGCGCCTGAGCTGCTCGCTCAGTCCTGGCCAGGGCCAGATACACCGTCACCAAGGGGAAACGGCCCTTGGTTACCACTGGCCTAACACAGAAGGCAAAACAAACACGAAGGCCTAGCAGGCCTCCCTCCTCACTGCTGGGAACAATTACAGGGTAATCGTCCCAGCAGCTTAAGGGCCCTCCAAGATCGGAGGCTGGAAGCCAGTGGGAGGCCGGTAGGTAACTCATTCCCTTCCTTTGCCTCTGAATATTTCCCAAGACCTAGGGACCCCGTGTCATCCCACTCAGGAAGACAAACACACACGGAGCCCCTGTAACTGCAGAGTCACGACCAACACAGGTCACGGGTACAGAGTGCTGAGCCAAGTTTGTGAAGCTATTTTCCACCAGTAAGCTTGGCAGGTGCAGAGGAGATGCCCCCATCAGACCTCAGGGAGGGTTTACCAGAAACCCCAGCCCAGGCAGGGGCAGGCTGAAGATGGGCATAGTTCTCTCAGACCCTGCCAACCCTCTCCTCCCCACCCGCCTCCCGCCCCAGGCCAAGCAACTTGTCATCAGATGAATAGACCTCACCACCAAAGAAGAAATGTTCTCCTCACCAGGCTCTAGCCACACTGGGCAGGGAGCAGCCAGGGCTGCATCAGGGCCCTGCACTGTCCTGAGGGGTTGGGGGTAGGGCTTCAGGTGCAGCCAGCGCAGCCCAGGCGCTGGTCCCCAGTCCCCTCCTGTCCCAGCACACCCAGAACCTTCCACTCAGAACCACATCCTCTTCTGGGACAGGGTCTCTCCCTTGCAGGGTCACACCCTAAGCAGACACTGGAGAGAAGCTTAAGCAGAGACAAGAGAAAGAGCTAAGAGGCACGCCTCACCCCTCCTCAGACCCTCACCCCAAGTCCCCAGCTCTGCTCTCTGCCGCAGGGTGACACGCGGGGAGAACTGTGTCTTTGCTCCCTCCACCCGATTCCTTCCTGCTCTCTGGGCATCGGTGTGAGCGAGCCATGCTTTCTCTTCCTACACTTTGACTTGAAAGGCGGAGTAGCCCTATTAACCTGGTGTTACAGGGTGGGGGAGGAGTAAGGGGGAAGAGGGAGGGCTCAGGGGTCCCGACCTTGAACGAGATCCAAATCCTCATCATATTGGAGCCACCACACCTGGAAGATGCTCTTAAATACTCCCGCATCCCATCCTCAGGCCCACTTGGGTCCCCCTACTCCTTAGCCTCCTTGGGGCCATGTTTTCCTCTGGCTACAGTAGTACTTACTCTGGCTTGGGGGCCTGCCCAGGCGAGGGATGGCGAACAGAGAATAGAAAGGAGGAGGAATGAGAGGCAGAGGGGTTGGAGGCTCCGAGACAGACACACAGCCGTGTCGCACAGAGGTGTCTCCAGCCCGCAGTGTGTATGCGGAACTGATACGCCACCCTGAGCATAGTAAGGACGTGGCCCTCAGAACCAGGAGGCAGAGCCAGCGTGCTGGTGGGACGGGAGGCTCATGGTGCTCCTCATGCCCTACTCTCTCATGCCCCACGGACGGTTTTGTGTCCATAACCCCCGGAGGTCTCGGCAAAAGCAAGTTAACCACCGCATTTACCAGTTAGGCTGAGGGTCTGCCCAGGGGTAGACGGGCTTTAACGGCGGGGGCCTCACCTCACTGAAAGCCAACTTAACAGTCTTTGGACTCGACCCTTGTCCTGGCTTGTCTCAGAACAGTGGCTCCCAACCTCCCTGGCACTTCCTCCCTCTAGTATGGTTCCAATGGTTGTGGTGACCCCCAACCAAAAAATTACTTTCGTTGCTACTTCATAGCTGTAATTTTGCCACCATTACGGATCATGATGCAAATATCCGTGTTTTTGGATGGTGTAAGGCAACTCCTACGAAAAGGTGGTTAGACCCCCCACACACAAAAGGGGACCACAATTCACATGTTGAGAACTTTGGGGGAGACTTGAGAACCCACGGACCCCTCGCCCTGCCCCAGTCACAGACGGGGAGGCCACTGAACTTAACAGTGGAGTGAGGGGTGTCAGTCTTAGATTTTGATATTGTCGTGCTGAAAATTTAAACAGCACACTCCAAGGACAATGAGCCAGAAGCTATCAGAAGCCTCCCCCCCGCCGCCGTCCCTTTGGTCTTGCCTCCTGAGTCACTGGAGAAGTCGCTTAGAACACAAGGACATTTAGGGTAAGAATATGAAACGCTGTCTGCAGCCTGGGTGGCAAGGACATCGCTGCCCAGTGTCCAGTCCCTGCTCCCTGTCGTGATCCGACGAGAGGCGGGGAGGGACACAACACAGCAGAAAGCCCACTCACTCCGCTAATGCACTGAACCCCGGGGTTTCTGGGTGGTAGCCAGGAAGCACTGGAGATGGAAACCTGGGGGGCCCCCTCCCCACCGAGCTTTACTACCTACGCCAAGGCACGGGAGGGCGGCAGGCCCCACACGGCGGCTGGTGTCATCTTGGCGTGCTGACGTGAGGGGTCTGCCTTACTATGGAAACTGGTTCTCAGACACGCCCTTGAAAAGTCATCAGAAACAGCTGGTCCATCATCCTCCGATCTCCATCACTTCCTATTTTCCCTCTCTTTTGTTTTGGAGAAAGGAGGCTAAGAACCGAGACGGGGCTGGGGAGACAGCTGGTGAAGTGTTTGCTTTGTCCTACAAGCAGGAAGACTTGATCCGAGGCCCACAGACCACATTTAAAAGCCGGGCACGGTGGTGCTTGCTTGCTATCCCAGCCCTGGGAAGGCAGGTGGATTTCCGGGGCTTTTTAGCTGGCCACCTAGCCCACTAGGAGAGCGCCGGGCCAGTGAGGGAACGTGCCTCAATAAACAAGGTGGGGCTGGCAAGGTGGCTCGGGGGATAAAGGCACTTGCTGCCAACCCTGGTGACATGAATCCAGGTCCTGGGTCCCACGC